CCAGCTATTTTTTTGGTTGCAGCCGTCATTGTTGTTTGGCGGGTCCAGGCTGGGGATTCGAACCCGCCACCTTAGGTGTACGTGGCTGGCGCCTTAGCCTGTTGAGCTATAGGTGCCAAGCCAGGTTATCAATTCTTAAGTATTTTAATAGTGTGATTATAACCATTCCTTTGGGTAAAGATATCAGTATCTTTTCCTTGGTTACATTATATTAACCTTCTGCTATGTATAATAAATATCTCTGTGGTAGATATCTTCATGCCTAAATCTTTTTATTTTGAGTTATTTCCTTAGGATGCATCCTAAAACTGGAATTACAGGATCAGAGGACATGAGTGCCTTTCCATTTTTTAATATATGCTATAAAAATGACAACATCCTTTATTTTTCCCCCTTTCACAGTCTTGCCCTGCCTGTAAGATCCCTCCGCTGACTACGAACTTATTCAATGTTTATGGGAAGAGCCCTTTGATTGTGTATTTTCTTCAAAACTATTCCCATCTGCAGCTGTCTGGTGAGGACATGTTGGTAATCAGGAGGGAACAGACCAAGAGCATCCCATATCCTTGTCACTGCAGATCACACATGACATACACCCAGGATGCACCATTCAGGCCTTAGAGCAGTCCCTGGCACATCATGGGTGCTTATTAGGGGTGGCCATTAATAAGAGCTGCAGGGTCAGAATCTCATTTTAGTTCCAAACCTAGAGCCAGCCTCATGAACTGGCTGGGAGCCCCTGGGAATGTTGATTTTCCTTGTGTGCAAAAATCTCCTTTCTTCCATGTACCAGAATGAATGGACTAACCAGGTATTCTAGGACTGTGGTCCCAGCTCCTGGGTGGCAGACCAGTACTATACGTGACCTGTTAGGCACTGGGCCTCACAGCAGGAGGTGAACAGCAGGGGAGCCAGTCAAGCTTCATCTGTATTTACAGCCTTTCCCCCATCACCACCTGAGCTCCATCTCTCCACCAACCCTAATCTGAAAAAAAATTGTCTTCCTTGAAGCCTGTTGCCAAAAAGGCTGGGGACCACTGCCCTAGCATACTTTAAAACTACATAATGCTTCCTAGGTGCTCATCCCCGCCCCGAGTATGTACTGATCAGGAATTTTGGTGTCCCTTCATCTAAGACCTTCTTCATACACACTCCTCCCCCAGACCCATTGACAAATCCCTCGCCTTGTTGCCATTTATCCTAAAGATCTGGTTAACAGCTTAGAGCCCCAGAAAACAGATGTAGTGTGTGTTAATGTCCTGAGTCTTCAGAGTTTACCATAGTGGTCAAAACATGGGTTCTAATTGAAATCAAATTGGTTAATTGGTTCAAGTAGCCCCAAACTTAGGAACTAGCTCTACCACTAACTAGCTGAGTGATTTTAGATGAGTTCATTTCTGGGACTTGTTTTTTAAGTCTGTAAAATACGGATAAGAGTGCCTGTCTTGTAGGGCTATTATACAGTTGGGTAAAGGCATAGCATGGTGGCAGGCCAATAACAAGGGCTGGGGTGGCACATTTGCACCTAGCTCCCTATCAGGAGGAGCTTTGATAATGAACTGGGCAACTTTGCATCTATATCTACAGGGAGAGAGTAATATCAGCAACTCATCTTCTATAGCGCTCTATTGTTTGTAAAATGTTTTCTCAAATATCAGCCATTGTTCTGTAAAGACAGTTTAGTGTTCTGTAAAGGAACCAAGTTTGGGACTACACAGCCCTAGATATGAGTCCCAGCTTAGCAACCACTGGCCTTGAGACCTCATGGGCTTAGCTTAACCTCAAAGCTTTTTTTCTTTTTTTTTTGAGACAGAGCCTCAAGCTGTCCCCCTGGGTAGAGTGCCATGGCATTATAGCTCACAGCAACCTCCAACTCCTGGGCTCAAGTGAGTCTCCTGCCTCCGCCTCCCAAGTAGCTGGGACCACAGGCGCCCGCCACAACGCCCGGCTATTTTTTTTGGTTGCAGCCGTCATTGTTGCTTTGGCGGGTCCGGGCTGGGGATTCAAACCCGCCACCTTAGGTGTACGTGGCTGGCGCCTTAGCTGGTTGAGCTATAGGCACCGAGCCAACCTCGAAGCTTAATGTCTGTATCTACTTACTCCTAGAATTATTACCAAACTAATAGTGATGTGAAGACGATCAAGTGATATACAGCCGCTACTAAGTAAATATTATTATTATTATTATTTTAAGACAGAGCCTCAAGCTGTCGCCCTGAGTAGATTGCCATGGCATCACAGCTCACAGCAACCTCCAACTCCTGGGCTCAAGCAATTCTCCTGCCTCTGCCCCCTAAGTAGGTGGGACTACAGGAACCCACCACAATGCCTGGCTATTTTTTGGTGGCAGCCATGGTTGTTTGGTGGGCCCAGGCTGGATTCAAATCTGCCAGCTCAGGTGTATGTGGCTGGCGCCTTAGCTGCTTGAGCCACAGGCACTGAGCCAGTAAATATTATTATTTTTGGCCAGGCACGGTGGCTCACACTTGTAATCCTAACACTCTGGGAGGCCTAGGCAGGTGGAGCATTTGAGCTCAGCAGTTCAAAACCAGCCTAAGCAAAAGCAAGATGTCATCTCTAAAAGTAGCCAGGTGTTATAGTGGTGCCTGTAGTCCCAGCTACTCAGGAAGCTGAGGCAAGAGGATCACTTGAGCCCAAGAGTTTGAGATTGCTGTGAGCTATGATGCCACAGCACTCTACCAAGGGCGACAAAGTGAGACTGTCTCAAAAGAAACAAAAAGAAAAAATTATTATTGTTACTGGCATCATCACAAAGTAGGTATTATTGTCCCTACTTAATAGGTAAGGAAATGGAGACATAGAGGATGAATTATAGGTAGTCTGAGATCCCTCAGCTGTGACAATGTAGCCTCTCTCTGCTCTGCCCTCCCTCTACCCTAATGAAAGGTGAAGGGGAGGGCAGAGCAGAGAGAGGCTTCTCAACATACAAACAGGAGATGGCAAATGAGGCCTGGACCTGAAAGAAAAGCAAAGTTGGAGCCCCTCCCTGCTCACTGCTGCGATACCAGAGTGAGAATTCAGGTGACAGTCTGGAAAAGTGTTTCGTAGCCCTGCCTTCCCTCTGCAGGGGCAGAAAAGGGCTTTGTTACAAGGCAGGGAACTGCCTGGCCACAGACAGGATAGCATCTTCCCTCCAAAGCAGGTCGTGGTCAATGAGCAAGAGGGTCACTGTCAACTCCAAATTCAGGCATTTACCCTGTCTGCATTCCACCCCTACCCCATGCCATGGGCTCATGCCACTAACAATGCCCTGAACACAGTTGGACAATATGGGATTTTCCTTGACAATAAAGCCACTGAGTCCACCCTGACATTTGATAACGTCATCAGCCTAACCCTGAGCAGCATGAGGAATCGAAGGAACAAGTTTAATAAATTGTACCAGCTTCACTGGAATGAATGGACTTACTTTGATGACTACCTAAAGAAAGTACAAAACAACTTCTTCAGGTATCTGAGGGGCTTTGGAAAGTGTCACTGGTCTACTGTAGCACATTATCATAATTTTAAATGGGGGCTGCTACCCCATAACTATTTTGACCACAGTGAGATTTCTTGTGGTCAGAATGTAAACTCAATAACAGAGACCAGATCCTTTTTTAATAGTTATTTTTTTCTCCCATCTAAGTACTAACCAGGCCCAACTCTGTTTAGCTTTGGAGATCGAAGGAGACTGGGTGTCATCAGGGTGGTATGGCTGCAGACAAAAAAAAGTTATTTTTTTCTAACTACAAAAATATTACATGCTCAACAGAAGCAAACAAAAACCCTGGAAAATCACGTAAAAGCATCTGAAAGTATATATTGCTAACATTTTTCTATCAATTCTTCCAGGTACATTTATCTGTATTACTAAACAAAATTGGTAGAGTCATACCTCCAATCTGTTTTCTAGACCTTTTTTGCCCCAACTTGGCAGCATATTATGAATATTTTCCTGTGCCTGCCTGTGGTGGGCACCTGTAATCCCAGCTACTTGGGAGGCTGAAGCAAGAGGATCCTTGAGCCCAAGAGTTTGAGGTTGCTGTGAGCTGTGACCCCATGGCACTCTACCCAGGGTGAAAGAGTGAGACTCTTTCTCAAAACAAAAACAAACAAAAGAACATTGTTTCAGAAAATCTTTTTTTTTTTTTTTTTTTTTGA